AAACTCTCCTCACAATCAGATTTGCTTCTTGGAGTAGTAGTATTCTTTTGGAGTGAAGACCCAGGAATACCTACAATGAGAGACTACAGAAACAATTTTAAACTGTGTGTCCTTGCTATATCTCTTATAGTTGCATTATCCTGCTTACAGAGACAGAGGAGGTACTTCCTCTCTTCCTGCCAGCTGTGAGGAATTCTGGAGTAAATGGATGTATTTGGCTCTATTTTGTGTGAAGTACAACATATTCTTTCATGAGATAGTGTTTCCACTGCTAATGATGCCTTGTGAAGGCTGACCTAGAAAGAGACTAGATGGAGCTAAAGAATAAAGTAGGTATTTATTAAGAGGCCTCAATAGATCCACCTTGGGCAGCACAACCCAAAATGGCCATGAAAGTGGATGACCAGACATGGGGTCTCACACTTTTGTAAGTTCTGGTCCATTAGCATATTGGAGCTAATTGTCCAATTACAGCTTTAGCCCATGACGTCCCATCCTTGTTTTCTCTCTTCAATCCACCGTTGTTTATGCTCTTGGGCCTGAGATCTGGATTGGCTATCCTTGGGTCCCCAGCTAGAGAAGGAGTTGTTTTATCTACCTATTCTGTGAAGAGAGCTTGCTATCCCATAATATGAAGCCTAGACGTACACACTAAAGCAGAACAGAATCTGAAAAATACAAAAGCTAAAACCTGAGGCATCACTAGGGTTGCACATCTCGGCAGGCAGAAGCTGTCTGGAAACACTGTCCAGCCAGGTATCTGACCTGGTAAGCAGGGGTCTGAGAAGTGCTTGTAGGGATCTTTGTATTCTTCTCCAGGAATTCTTGGCAGCTTCAGGAAAAGATCTACTTAATGTTCTTTGCTGGGAGAGGTGGTAATGGAAACCACAAAGTCCCAGGATATGTTCCCTGAGAGCTGAATGAGAGGACATTGCTAAGGACAGTCTTTACATCAGCTGTATGGTTAGAAATAAATGAACAGTACTATAATCTCCGCTGTATCACTCCATCTCGGTTCTCCACTCCCCCACAGGGAGGCTAGCAATATTGGGAATTAGGTCAGGATGATGAGGAGGGAAGGCATGAGGCTGATTCCTGGATTGCAAAATCTGTGCTGTCTTCCTTCTTTCTCCAGGATGCGAGGGCTCTGCATTACCCTAGAGGCAGAGGGTCAGTGACTTCATCAGTCACTTCTATCCTTTTGTCAGTTCAGGATCAGTCTGTGTGCTGGCACCAGAGGCCTGAGCAGCAAGTGAGGGAGGTTTCCACCTCTTTGACCAGAAAGAGGACTCAGACCTCAGTTCCAGCAGCCTCTCAAAATCTGCTGTCCAGCGTTCATGGGTAGTCTGCACACCCGTGCTGTGGGCACCCTGGCATCTTGCTGTGCCACAAGCAGTGAGGTGAGCTGGGGATCCCTCAGCTTCAGGCCTTACCCAGTGCTGCACACACAGGATTTTCAGGTCATTGGGCTCTGACCATGTGGGCTCACACATGGCTGTGCGAGGAGAGACCCTCTACACCGGGGCTGACCCTCCAGTGCAGGGAGAAAGCTAATGCTTTAGCTTTTTAGTCCAAAAAACATTCAGGGAAAGCATATTGTTAAGGGACTGGGCAGAATATTAAATTTTTGGACGTTTTAAAATGCACAAATATGCCTTTTAATTATTTGGATGTGGTAGTGTCTGTACTTGCAATGTAAAAACAATCCTATCTTAAAAAAATATTGGTATATTTTTTGCCACTTTCTCCCTGCTCCACCCCATTCCTTATACCAAAAGTTGCTCTTTGCACTTTTTTGAAAATGGTTGCCTGTCCAAACAGCAGTTTCTATGAACGAGGAAGAAATGTGTAGTCATCACTTCCTGACAGAGGAACAGGTGAGAAAGCTGATCCTGCAAGACACACTTCAGGTTTATTGGGTTGAAAGTCTGCCTTGTATGGGTGTGCATCTTGGTATGTTGGCAGTGGCATTTTTAAGGCAGTACGAGATATAGATGGCTGAGGTCCAGAGGCCCTAAAATCACAGGATCACAGAACAGTTGGAATTGGAAGTGATCCCTTGATATCATCTAGTCCAATCCTTCTTCTCAAAGCAGGGTCAACTAGAAAAGTTTCCCAGGACCATGCCTCCAAGGATGGAGACTCCATAATGTTTTGGGCAACTGGTGCCAGTGTTGGACAACCCTCACAGAGAAAAGGTGTTTCATTGCTTATAAGTGGAGTTTTCTGAGTTTCAGTTTGTACCCATTGCTTCTTGTCCAGTTGCTGGGCACTGCTGAGGAGAGTCTGCTTCTTTCTTCTCTACTACTACTCTAACACTGAGGTATTGGTATGCATTGGTAAGATCCTTCTGCACTTCTCTAGGTGAAGAGTCCTGGCTTTCTCAATAATTGCTCCTCTGTGCTTGGTGACTCCATTCTCCAGAAGAGGCTTGAAACTTCAGGCAACACACTCTCTCCCAACTCGAAAGCAGTGTAGCTGGAGTTACCTTGCAGCCAGGCAATTTAGTTCATTTGGAAAGATAATAGTCCTGCTGTAAGAAGCAACTGCTACATACTGCTGCATCTGGGCAGTAAGTGATTCCTGCCCCCCTCTCCTGGTGTGAGTAAACCTAACCACTAAAACTGTAATGAGCATGAAATTGTTTGAGAACACTGCACCTCTGGGGCAGGTAGTCAGTTTGGGGAGGTAGCCAGTTGCATATAACCTCAACTCACTTTCAGCCTGTGAGCATCCCTTCTTCCAATATCAGCTTTCAGGATTGCTGCTTTCTTTTTCAAATAACTTGAATTTCTTTGTTTTTGTTTGCCAGAGGTAGCTCTCACTGTGTAAAAGACCCTTTGCACCAAATGTTTTCTGTGGAAGAGATTTATTCAGCTAAAAATACGGACAAATCAGGGTTAACATAGGTGCAACATGCTAAGCTAACAGAGAGCAACAAAGATGACTATGAAAGCAACTGCTAATCTGCCAGGCATGTGTACTACAGGCATGTGTGTTTGTCCAGGGTGGGGTTGGCTCTGAGCTGTGTCAGTAGAACTGGGAGGAGGCAGGAAATAGGATAGAACTTGTGTCCTAGTACTGTTCGCAGGACAGATCTTCCAGTGTGACACAGGATGTAAGCTTTCTGGAGCTTTGTATTGATGAGAGCTTGTAAAGCTCCAGTTTGGCTGCCCAGTATCAAGCCGCGTGGTTCCTTAGCCTTTGACAGACATCCCAAGAGGATGCAGTACCATGCCAGCAACATGGACATTTTGGTTTAAAATTGCTTAGACCTCCACTTGTCAGGTGATGATGCACTTGGCTTCCTGCCATTGAGTGCATGCATGCTTCCCTTTACCCTTCAAACATGTGAGCGAGCTGTCTAAGCCTTGCAATAGCTCAAAAGCTACTTGGTTGGGTTCCCTTGTCAAATTGGAGTATTGTTGATCCAGCATCACTGATAATACTGTTCACCAAATGCACATTAAAGAGGTCAATATGGGGCAAAATCATGCCTTCTGCCAGTATTTGCCTTTATTCCCAGCTGTTGTGTGAGGTGCTTTTCACACATAATCTTCCTGCCTTTCTTTTAATTTCTGCAATTCTTTTCATTTGGGCAGTAGAATCTTCTCACTACACTCATTGTATGCCTTTTACTATCTAAATCTTGTGGGATCTGGATTTAATAGTTTTAATTACCTTCTCTGACCAGCACTAATAGTTTCCTATTTGAAAATAGCCAGTTGAAGGACAGGATTCTACCCCTCTGCTTTCATGAGACCTTACCTGGAACAGTGCATACAGTTTTGATGCCCCCAACATAATAATGGCATGGAATGACTGGAGCAAGTTCAGAAGAGGGCTGTGAAATTGCTAAAAGGACTGGAGCACTTCCCCAGTGAAGACAGGCTGTGAAAATTTGGGCTGTTCAGCCTGGAGAAAAGAAGACTGCGTGGAAACCTCAATAGCAATCTTCCAGTACCTGAAGGGTTCTACAGGGAAGGTGGAGAACGCGTCTTCACCAGGAAGTGTAGTGGTAGGACAAGGACTAATACATACAAACTGAAAGAGGGGAAACTTAGATTAAATATCAGGAAGAAATTCTTTACTGTGAGGGTGGTGAAATACTGGAATAGGTTGCCCAGAAAAGCTGTGGATGCCCCATCCCTGACAGTGTTTGAGGCTGGTTTGGATAAGGCCTTGAGCAACCTGGTCTAGTGGGAAGTGTCCCTGTCAGGGGGGTTGGAACTAGATGGTCTTCAAGGTCCCTTCCAACCTAAACCATTCTATGACTCTGTGACTCTATGATTTTATGAAATTAGTTAAATCAGTTCCATTAAGCCTTACTGCTCTCTGTGAGAAGGGATTCTTGTGCTTAATATGCTTTATGTGTCATTTAAACACCATTTAAAGTGCAGTCTACCAGAGAGCTGTAGTGCAGTTATAAACCAGACATGCAGAACTTAATTGTCTGTGGAAAAAACATCAACAGGTGACTGTAGCTATTCCTATGATCTGTCAAACTTCTTTTTTCTGTTCCTGTGAGCGAAATTTAGAATAAATTTTGGTCCTAAACCAAAAGGGGCTAAACAAAGCATGCATCCAGACTGGCTTGTTCACTCACCGTCTTTCATGCTTTCCATGAGCAAGATGTTGTATTTTTCATGCTTTCTGAACTCTATCATACCAGAATTCATCTCCTCTTAAACTTGCTGCCATGTGGCCCTACCCCAGCGATAGGGACTGCTGGCACATGCACAGCCCAGCTGGCTGGTGATGCTGAGAGTTGTCACTTCTTCCCTGCACTCTCCTCTCTCCATCAGGGGTGTGCAACAGGGTTATGGCAAAGGGGTGAATATCAGAAAAAACTGCATCTACAGCTTGCTGTCTGAGGCTTGGTGTGAGCAGCCCAAGTGGGGAGGGTGAGCCTGTGGTGGGGAGAGGGGAGTGGGGCTCTGCAAGCCTTGCCAGGATGGCCTGTCCTTATGCCTTGGGACGTTGTGTTTCTCTCCTTGCAGATGTCGTGGCACCCACAGTACCACAGCTCCAAGTTCCGCCACGTGTATGGCAAAGCTGCCAGCAAGGACAAGTGCTACGACTGTGTGCCCATCACCCACAATGTCAATGACAACCACTTCTGCGCCGTGAACCCCAGCTTCATCGCGGTGGTGACCGAGTGTGTGGGCGGTGGTGCCTTCCTCGTCATCCCCATCAAGCAGGTGAGCTCCCCAGAGAGCTTTCGAGGGCGTGTGAAGAGGCTGGAGGAGGGACAGGCTTTCTAGGGAGTCAGATCGCAAAGGATAGTCTGTTAATGCTGTTGCCCAAATTGCAAAATGATGGAAGAGGCCCCAGTTGCCCTAGCAAGTGACTCATGGCATGTGTGTATTCATATGTCTCGCATTGCTGCTTGCAGATTTTCAACACCTTTCTTCATTTTACAACTCATTTGCCCTTCTTGTGTAATCATCAGAATGTGCTGTTCAGATGTTTGTCTCCTGGGAGAAACTGCAAATTAAAAAGTATTTAGTGGATAAAGGGGCAAAACCAGAAAGGTGCTTTAGTGACATGGATTCAGCTGTGACCAAAGGAGAATATGGTGTGTTTTGTTCTACCGTCTCCTTTGTGAAAGAATGGAGACACAGTTATCAGGCAATGAAGCTCTTAAACTTCAAGCAGTGATGCTGTGAAGACTTCTCTTTCAGAAACAAATCCCATGTATATGAGTTTTCATGACTTAGGATCTGGTGTGAGGGAGAAGCTGACTGTCTGATGTTTATTGCTTCAGTAAACATCCAGGCATGCACTGGATTGACTTCAATATGGGATTATGATCTGTCTGGAATCAGGACAGAACAGATGAAAGGCAAAAGTTCAGCCTTTAATTAAAAGTTAATTGATGGTGTTATTGCAATGCCACTTTTTTCAATATATATTTGCTAAGGATGAAAATAAACTGGTTGTGCTTGAAGAACCTAGTACAGTTTCCGGCCCTTCTGGACTTTGTTAATTCATTCCTTCAATGCTGGTGCTGTTTAGAGACTATCCTTCTAAAATTAACCACTACCCTGATTTTCTTGACTGATTCACTTCTGCCCCCACAATGATGGTCTGTTGAGGCTCAACAACTTGTCTTTATCACAGAACTGCATCTGTAGGCAGACAGCTGTTTACTGTGGGATGTGGTGTGGGACCAAGCTCTCAAAGTACTGGCAAAAGTAGCTGAAGGTGCTTGTACTGCTTAATGTTAATTTTTCTGTCTTCTCACCTCTTCTCAGCTTGGCTAGTCTTTGTAGTAATTTTTCCTTCTTACACCTGCCCAGATACTCCACCCAGTTTTGAAATATTGCATTCTGAAATCAAAGGCATGGTAGAACTAAAAAAGATACAGAAAAGGATAATTAAAGCATGTCAATGAAAATGTCAGTACTTTCATATGCGGAAAGACTTTACAGGTCAGGCCTCAGTCTGGGAAAAAAGGCAAGATGTATAAAGCTGTGAGGAGAAGATGGTTAAGGAGCAGCTCTTTTTGATTTGTTTCGTGAAGGGGATTCTGGGGACCAGGGAGCAGACCATTAGCAGCAGATGTAAATGCTGCTGCAGTTCAGATGTGGGGCTCACTGTTCTGGATGCTGATGAGTCTGGAAGAATTAATGGCTTCAAAATGGAGCTGTGGATAGGAGTTGGTCCCTTAAGGGTTAACATTTGTTTGTGGATCAGAGAAATTAGGTGCTTCACACAGCTTTCTCTGAATACCTGAATACCTCTGAACAGGTCTCCTGACCTATGCTGGGAGGTAAAGGAGCCTCAGCCTCCCAAAGAAAGGGATTCCCCGAGTCAGGACCTTTGGTACCAGCTACTTTGTTTTGTCTGATACACTTCCTAAGTGGTACCATCTGGTGCAAAGCAGAAACTTTTGACTTGTGCTTCTGATGGTGACTTTTTGTGCCTGCCATCTCTTGCTGTGAAGGTGAGCCATGGCAGTGTAAGTGTCCAGTGAGCATGGCAAGTGTCCAGTGTACTGGAAGTGTGGAGGAAGAGCCCAAGAGACCAAGAGCCAGGACAACATTTGGTCAAAGCAAGAGGTAGTAGCCAGGACAGGGAGGGCTACAGTTGCTGAAGAGGATAAACAACCTGTTCAGGGAGCTGTTCTTGTCCCTCCCTCCAATATTTTTTTAGTTCATTCTGCACGTGTTGCTGCTAGATAAGGATGCTTAGACAGGGGGGCTGCCTGTCTAAGCCTGTCTAAGGATGTCCTTGAATGAAGCCTCAGGTTTGCTCTGTTTAACTGCACCTCCTTGCTTGTTTGTTGTACTCCTCTTCTGCTGAGTCACAGATACCAAGGTGTCTCATCTCTCCTTGAATAAATACCACTTTTTTTCCTTCTGCACCAGTCTTCTTCTCCGAGAGCTGGGGGGTGGGGTAGGGCTGGGGACAGTGGAGGTTATGTAAAGAATGAGTTCTTTGCCCTAGATACCATCCTTTCAGCAGGCCTTTGCATTCAGCCTTATAAGAAATTAGTAGAACATTTGCCATCACTTTGTAAATGGTCTGTTGCAGGGTGTGTCAGTGACATCCTGGTCAATATGTGCCACTGGAACCAGCTGGGTGGAAGGGGCGCACATCTCAGCAGAGAGGGAAGGGGCTGCTGCCACAGGGGCTGCCTGGTGCCCAGAACAGGCTGACTGCCTGTAAATCTTACAGGTTCGAGGAGACATGAGCTCAGTGACTGTAAATGAGAGATCAACTGCTTTCCCACAGTGTGGCCTGGGTGTAGATGTGTGGGGGAAGTGCATGCACAGCATGCCAAGGAAAGATCTTGACTGGGGGGGATATTTTGTGGCCTTCTTTTGAGAGATGAAGTCCTGCCTTTTTTCTTTCCTGATGACCAGACTTCATTGAGACTGCATCTGTCTCTTTCTCTGCAGGAAAAAAAAAGTGGGAACAAGGTCCCAAGAGACAGGAGATTATTTATGCCCAGGTCTGCAATCTCCAGTCTTTGAATGTGTCAGCACCAGGTGTGAGAGGGAGGATATCTGTGGCTGTGCAGACTTCGTAGATACAAACTCCCCTCCCTTCTCTCTGGGAACATGGTCTGTAAAATGAAACTGATGATGACCCCTCTGGCCTTGTGTAACTGACTCGTGTGTGAGTGCTGTGCTGCTGCCCTTCAGGGGCAGAGGTGGGGCTGACTGGCCTCGCAGTGATCTGCCCTGCACAAATCTGCTGGGACGGTTTTGACAGATGTTCCACTAGGAGTGATTTTTGTCAGCGAGCTCCAAGCTTTTCAGAAATGCTAGAACTTTAGAAAGGGAGTGGTTGAAAAACTGCTCATTTTCAAGCTCTGCAGGAAGCTGTGGAAGTCAGGTACCACTTCATGGAATGACAACACATCTAGTTACTGAAATAGTTTTTGATCTATAGAATGAAATTTCCTCCAGCAATGAAGATCTTCACTTCCACATGCAGATGTGCATCTGAGACTAGGAGCTCTAGCTTTATGTCGTTTATGTTTGTTGGCTCTTGGGGCTTCATGTGTGATGAGTCCTGGTCTTGTCCCAGGGCTTGCAATGAGGCAGGTGAGGCTGGTGGCTGGGAGAACAAGGGCTCCTTTTCCAAAGCCTTTTGGGAAATTGGGAGTGGGGTAAGAGAGCTTTGAAACATGGGTCAGGCAAACTGGGCTTAGGACAACCTGGGAGTCTCCCAGAATGGAGTGGGGAGCAGACGGGCAACTAGCTCTGGGAGGGGACAGAGTTCTCTTAAGGATCAAGGGATCCTTGTTGATCCAGCTGGCCACCCCTTTTAGCTGTCATCTTGAAACCAAGCTCTGAAGCCTACAAAAGGACACTGTGGGTGGAGGAGCGCTTCTTATTAAAGGCCTTTTATCTCTCTTCAGCCTTCCCAAATCTCTTTGCATTGTCGCTGTTATAAAAGGGAATTGGTTTAGACTGTATTTTTAAAAACCACAGTCTTTTACATTTCAAAGCCCTTTGGATGTTCAGTTTAAAGCAGGTTAGTCCCAGTTTATGCAACAAACTTTCCAGTGAAACCAGAATAGTTACACACTGGTGTCCTGTTCTGTATTCAAAATTGCAAAAACCCCCCAAAATTTAAAATCTGGGAAAATTATATCCTATCCAAAACCTGCTTAGAGGCAGCAGTGATTCTCCTCAGCCCTGCTCTCCTAAGGCCCACCTCTGGAGAGGTGTAGGGAGTAGTACATCTACAGAAGTGTCTGCTTTCTAGGAGAGCACACATTTGCTCTACAATTTGGTCTGCAGTTCTTCCAGGTAGGAAGCAGTAAGCTGGTAAGCACCACCAGCTTGCCAGCTCTTATGTCTCTCTCAGATTGCCATTATGTCTCCCTTCTTAGTGACTGACTTTTGCTCTTTAGCTGATGCCTGGGGTGGGTCAGGGGGCTCCCCACACTTCTCCTGCTTCTTACAGAGGAAAGCAAGCATTACTTCAATGTTAATAAAATCACCACCACCCTTTCTGCAATTTAAATACTCAAACTTGACTCTACAGCAGAGACTGTGCTGGCAGTGTGGGTTTATTCAATGCAATACAGCCCCCATCTGGCACAAGGCTCCCAATACACCTTAGGGCACTTAGGGTGTGATTTGTACCACTGCAGATGCCACCTAAACATGGCATGGTTTTGGGTTTTTTTTGAGAGTTCAGAATGCTGATTGAATTTGGTGAATGGCTGGATTTGAGCACCATCAGAGAGAAATAGATAGCTTGCTGAAAGAAAAGCTGTAATTTGTAAATATCTTTTTGCTAAACCCAAAATGTAAATAATTTTTTTTTTTGCTGTTTGTGGGAAATGTCTTCTGAAGGAGAGTTTGCTGTTGTTTGTCCCTCCATCAAAAGATCTTTAAAAAATGTTGAAGATTCATGTAATTCATAAATGTGTCTCCTCCAAATTATGCTTTGGTGTCTGAACCTAATACTGTCTTCCAAATATGCAAGCATGCACGGAAGTTTTTTCACAGCAGCATGTTCTTAGGAAAGCCTGGCAGTCTTTCTTTCCTTTGTGGTGGTATCATCAAGACTTGACTAGCAGGGACAGCAAAAACGCATCCTTACAACACTGAGAGCACCCAGGGCATTTGGAGGAGAGCAAGCAGAAAGAAGTTTCTTTCTGGAGCTGCCTTGAAAATGTCCTGTAATTCCATGGCTCACCTTAAGTTTGATTATATATTTTTTTTTCCAGACAGGCAAGCTTGACCCACATTATCCCAAAGTATGTGGGCACAAAGGAAATGTTCTTGATATCAAGTGGAACCCATTCAATGACTTTGTAATAGCTTCGTGTTCAGAAGATGCCACAGTAAGTTTACCACCTTGTACTCTGTGTTAGTACCTGGCTAATGTGCTTTTGGAGGATGAAATTGAAAGAAATCAAAAGCTCATGAATGTGAAGTGATGTGAGATGTGAAAGCATGCAAATACTTGTTTAAGAAGTCAGGAAAAAGTAAGATTGCTTTCTTTCTCCTGAGTTGAGACCTGTGTGATGCCTTCCATATGATATATCAAATCAGTGTAATGAGGAAGATCTATTTTGTTGGAGCTTGTGCCTTTTTTTGGTGTGTTTGTATGATGAAAACAAAGTATGAGTTTAAAATTGAATGATATTAAAGTTTAATCTCTTTGAAACTCTGTCTTTAAAAAAGCTTCAACACAACATTATCTGGACCAGCTCTTTCAGATTAATTCCCCACAGAGCAAGTTTGAGCTTGTTCCTGCACTCAGTTGCTCTGTAAAGTCATGCTGGATCAGTTGTGGTGAGGAATATGCGTCATATGGTTCTGCAGTGGGTGCTTTGGCTCTAATTAGTGTGGTTAAGATGCAGACACTGTAGCAGTTGAAAGATTTCAGTTATGTTTGTAAGGGACAGTTTAGCTCATATTTCCCTACTGGAAGGTCACTTTCAAAAGGTCTTGTAAAAAGTGTGATGTTGATGTCTTTGATAGTGAGGATGTCTGACTAACTGCCATGCTTTTTTCCAGACATCCCATGTGAGATCCCACTGGGTTTATTCTCACTCTGCCATAGAGCATCAGGGACGTGTTTTCTGTTATTTTCTCCGGACCTGGCTTGGTTCACATGCTCTGCCATTTCAGTTCTGCCAAAAAATCACTCTTGATTATAAGCTTTTTTGATTGTCTTTCCTGTTTAGTGACTTGTCTTTGCTTGTTTGGATACTCCTTTGCCTTTTTTTTTCTTTTTCCTTTCTTTTGTTTTTCTTTTAAGGCTTCTTTCAGTTTCTGAGCTGATGGTAAAGATTTTATTGTATCTTCCAACCTGTATGCCAGGCTCTCATGCTGTCTCAGGAAGTATGGCATGGTATGACTTACTTGTGGCAGGGGGCACCACCTTGGTCACTCTTTTGAGCCTCATATGAGAAATGAACATACTCTCCAAAAACGTCCCACTGCAGTTACAGAATCACAGAAGCGTTTGTGTTGAAGGGGAGATTTCTTTCACCACCTCTCTAGGCAGAGCACCTGTTTGTGTTCTTCACTCCTCCCGTGGGGAAATTTTTTCCTTCCAGTGTAGTTAATGACTGCTGTATTCTGTCCTCGTACCGTGCATTTCAAGACAGAGCCTGGCTCTATTTTCTCAGTAGTCTTGTAAGTATTGAAAGCGTTTATCAATTTACCTGGAAGCTGTCTCTTATCCCAGCTGAGCAAGCCCATCTCCCCCAGCTTTTACTCTCAGGGTAAAGTGCTGCAGTCTCCTGAGCATCCTGGTGGGCCTCCAGCATCTTTCTTGCACTGCGGGGTGCAAAACTGGATGCACTATCCCCAGCTTTCCTTTCCAGTTTTCTCCAGAAACTTGACACTGGATCATTCCTCAAATTAAAGAATGGAAACACATGAGCAGGTCTCAGTACCAAGTTATTTCAAGAAGTCTGTCTGTCTGTGACTGTACTCTCCTTTTACTACTCTCCCATCCTCATCCTAGCACCAGGAAATGGTATCTCAGGGGTGACATGGTGTACAGACATCTCCTCCCTGCCTGCTAAGTAGCAATGACAGCAGACTGTGTTTCTTGGTGTGACTATATTTCCTGATAACTCATAGCTGGACCTTGGATGTCACTTTGTCCATGCCCTACTAAAATCTTTGGGTTGCTCCAAGCCTTGAGAAGATGTCTAAGGCTACAGGTCCTGTGGCCTCAGTAGGTCCTTCTTCCAGGTGTTGAGTATACTTCTAGTGAAAAGGGGATGCCTCTGATCTCCAGGCATTACCATATTGCCATATACATCCATTGCTTTTGATGCTCTCCTTTTGTACCTTCCAAGAGTTTGGCTCCATCTTCTCTGTGCCTTCATGCTGTGTAGTTGAAGGGCAGCAAGAGACTGAACAAATTATTTTCTTTCGAGCTCTCCTCAGATTTGCTGTTATTGCTTCCTTCTCATCTCTTGTCTGCTGTTGGACTCTGTCTGTGGGGTCAGTGTCTTGCTTAACCTGCCTGTTCTGGAGGGCTCACACTGGACACACTGTTGAGACATCTTTACGGCAATATTTCCTCTGTTTTAAGAAAAGTTTGAGAAAGGTTTTTTGGGGTCACAGAGGTGTCCACCACTTCCACTGGGCTGGACATAAGAAGAAAAGTCTTCTTTCCAGTCTGTTGTTAAAAGTCTGGTGCTCTCTTCTATTTCTGAGCATGAAGTAAGCCACAGGGCAAGTAAGACTTGTGTGTTAGCATGCATCTAAGTGCTTACTGGGCTGGTCTTCCCTTTGAAGAAGGCTACAAACTTCTGAGTAGATAATGGAAATTTCACTTCTCCCACATTTCTCAGAGGTTTCTTGACTGTTAAGCAGCCTTTCTGGAGCTTGCTTTGGTGGTACCACTGTTACCAAAAATTGGTAAAAATAAAAGCTTCTTAACACTACTATAGCATTAAGTAGCAGACATTCTTTATTTAGCTGGGTGCATGAGGAGATATCTCCTCTGAAATATCATGCATGCTGACTACAAAAGAAACTCCTGTTTAGATACTGTATTTTATGTACATAGTCACTGATTTTTCCCTGAATAAACATGTATATAATAATAATAATAATATTTTCCCTCGAATCAGTAACATATTTTCTCTCTCTTTTACGCATATGTTCTTCTGTCCTGGATATCTCTTTGGTCGTGCCTGGTGGTCAGTGACTCTCAAAGTCATACTTGACCGTCCAGTCAAGTGGTAAAAGTTGGCACAACTGGGCTGGTTGCTTTCCAGTTCTTCTTCTTGCAGAATGGGCATTATGCAGTTATACAGACCAGTGGTTTTTGAAGAATAGGCATTGTGTTAGCCTGCCAGGTGCAGACAATTTTTTTGTCTGACAGCACTACAGCTATCTTTTGTCGCGCATAGCTGGAGCTATGTAGAATGGTACTTTTGGGCCTGGGAAGGATTGTATGTTCTCTGTGAACAGTGAGTTCCAGTTCTCACTGCTGTTTCAGGTGGGCTTAGGGCTGAGGCCTATATGAATGTCTAGGGACTGAGAGTTTGAGCTTATCCTCTCATCTCTTCTGTTCTTCTTGGCAAATCATCAGGCATGAAGAGTTCAACTTGTTGAAGTTCTCCTGCCCTCTGGTTAGAGGGGCAACTCTGCCTTTTACTTCGTTTTATCAGGCTTTCTTTGATGTAGCAGGGTAGACAGCTTGTTCATTCTTGGATTGTACCTGCTTACCTGCAGGCCTGAGTCTAAGATCTGCATATTCTGCACACTAAGGAACTGGCAATTTCTGCCATTTAATGCAGCCTCAGATTCCAGCCAGATGCTTCTCTCTGCTTTTGTCACCAACCATTTCACAGCACGAGGAGTGGATGGTTCATTCTAGGCAGTTCTTATCAGCATGGACACAACTTATTTTTCCCTTTTCTAGTCTCTCAGCCCCATTCCTTTAGTGACAGCTGTGGAAACTGTAAGGAATCAGTCAGTCTGATTATAAATGATGATTTATAAGTGATGTTTTCTCTAACTACTGTAGAAGTTCATATGAATACTGCTGGACTCTACAGCCATTATATTTCTGGCAGGCTTGATTCCTTAATGGGATAAACACTGCTGAGAAGGGTGCTTATGATGTTTTCCAGGAGGTCCCAGAATTTGGGTCTGTTTCTTACTTGTCTTAGAAAGGAGCGATTCTCATCAACCAAACAGTAGGAGACTTGGGCAGCTGTGGCTGATTTCCACAAACTATGTTCCAAAGAGCATTTTGCTTTTGCTTCAGGCTAAGAAATAGATAAATTATGACACAAACATAGTAATTTTCATTGAACCAAAGGATTAATCATCTGTTAGCATCCTAAATACTTGTGTTTCTAGGGTTAGTGTGAGAAAGACTCCTTTTATACCTGCATAAGTTCAGCCCCTCTTGCTGGTTTCTGATACTTTCTTCCACCACAGGAGGACAGAGCATTTTTGTCTTCATGCAGCATCCTTCTAGAAGGACCCAGAGCTGTAGGTGAGCCTGTTACAAGACAGCACACTCCCAGTGCTGAATGGCTTCAGTGCAGTTAAGAGGCAAGGTCTGCAAGATTAGTAGTTTATTTCTTCCCCTTGGGAATAACTTTTCATAATTGTCTTGACAGGTCTAAGGGTTGGATTGCCAAATTTAAAGAAACTCTGGTAGGACTGCTGTCTGAAGATAGAACATAAAGAGGAGTCTTCAGGTCCACAGTATAGTAAAGATACAAATGACAAGGACAGGAGTTCAAAAAAGCCAGTTGCATTCCTATTCACTACAAAAAGAATAGTAATTCCAAGGCAGTTAATAACTGTTGGTAAATTCTGGATTAGCTCCTCTTCAGGAATCTCACAAAGACCTATGCTGTACCATTCAGGTTAAAATCTGGGACATCCCCAACCAGTTGCTAAAAAGAAACATTACCACTCCGAAGAAAGAACTTCTTGGGCATGCTCGAAGAGTTGGTCTGATTGAATGGCATCCCACAGCTGATAACATCCTCTTCAGCTCTGGCTATGACTACAAGGTGGGTCTGTGCTCTTAGGACACTCTGTTTGGCTTGGTGTTTTGAAATTTGTTTTAATTTCAAGCTGTAAGATGTTTCTAAAGAGTTTGGAAGCTTTCTTCAGGGGTAAATTCTATGGTGGCCCAAAGGCAAAAGGATATTGCTATAAGCCCAAAAGGGCTGTATAATTTTCCAGCCTTCTGATGAGCTTCAGTCTACTCTGCACTTGTCATTTACTGAATTGGATAGAGCATGCAATGCCATCCACTTTTCTTTGTGCTACTGCATATATATATGCACTGATGTTGTCTATTTTTATGTAAAAAATGTGGTTTCAAAGGAAATGAAAATATTCTTTCTTAGATGAAAATATTCATTCTTAGATGACACTGACACATTGCTGTTAATATCAGGAATTATTTTAAGTGCTGGAGAACAAACACTTGTGATGGTAAGACCTATACATGTAGAGAAAAGATGAAGAAGAGAATAGAGTACAAAAAGTTCCTTGTGTGAGGCAGCAAAGGGCTGATTTTAAAAATTATTTTTGCTCCAGATAATGATCTGGAACCTTGGTGTCGCGGGTGCTGTTCTTTCAAAGCCAGTGAAGATTCTTGATGCTCACAAAGATGTGGTCCTCTCCATGTCATTCAACACAGATGGCAGTCTCCTTGCCACTGCTTGCAGGGACAGAAAGATACGTGTGATAGACCCTCGTGCTGGAACAGTCCTACAGGTAGGTTGGGTTCAGAGGTTTATGGTCTATCTGATCTCACCTCTTGGAGTGTTTCCTCTCCTGGGTAGCTTCATTGCCATAAAAGATGATGCATCTGCATTTCCCAAGGCACTATATGGTGCTGTTCCCTTATATTTTCCATAGAATGCTTGCTGTCATTGATGAGAACAGGGATTTTGTATCTTGATACCATGTTCCTTGCTCCTTGAAACCTTACTTGGATTGTATTGTTTTCATAGGTATCTCCTGCAGCCCTCTGAGGGACATCATGGGAGGGAATGTAGAGATCAGGTGGACAGGTGGATGCAGGTGTATGTTTGTCCCAGTGACAGATGTCCCAGTGGTTGTTCTTGTTGCCTGGATTTTGTTGGCTAGGTGTAGCTTGTAGCTATTTGCAGAGGTTTGTGTACACAGAAAGTCCTGCCTGGAACTACTAAAGACTGCTGTCTTGCAAAAATATGAATTTATAGTTAGAGAGGTAAGATTGGCTCAGCTGGTCAGAGCAGGGTGCTGATAACACTGGCAATGTGGGATTAGTCCCTGTATGGGCCATTCACTTTAGAGTTGGACTTGATGATCTTCGTGTGTCCCCCCTTTCACTCAGGATATTCTATGACGTGTTGTTGAGATTTTGGGAATGATCCTGAAGAGTTTAGACCACTATTTTCAGATGCCTGGGAAATCCTGCTCATTGTTGTTCAGCTGGGCTGAGCAGATCTTTCAGATGTGAGTGAATGAGAGTTGTCAGGTAACATGAAATGTTGCTATGCAACAGATGTTGTCTTACTCATGCAGTGTCCTTTCTCTTCTACAGGAAGGAAACTACAACTCTCACAAAGCCAGTAAAGTCTCATTCCTTGGAAACATGAAAATGCTGTTTTCTACTGGAACATCTCGGTGGAATAATAGGCAAATTGCATTATGGGATCAAGTGAGTTGGACCAAAAATCTTAACCTTACCAGCTTCTGTTTTCTCTCTTTTGCTGTCACTTTAACTTTCCACCTGCCACATACAGAAGAACTGATTTACAACAGGAATTCAGAAATGACCTGTCAGATTCCTGAAGGGTGATAGGTCTTACTGGTGTGAGACATAACTGAGTTTCTGGAGAAGTTTTCAACAGAGAAGCCTAAGAGAAAAAAGTGAATGCTGTGCCCATGTCCTGGTTTTGTCTGGGATGGAATTAATTTCCTTAGTAGTTGGCACAAGGTTGTCGTTTGGATTTAGTGTTGAAAGCACACTGACATTTTGAGGTGTTGCTAAGTAGTGCTTACCCTAAGTCAAAGACTTTTCAGTGTCTCATGCTCTGCCAGTGTGCAGGTGCACGAGAAACCGGGAGGGAGGATATCCAGGACAGCTGATCTGAACTGGCCAAAGGGATATTCTATACCATAGAACGTCATGATCAACTGGGGGGACTTGGCCAGGAGCCATGGATTGCTACTCAGGGACTGGTTGGGCATTGGTCAGCGAGTGGTGAGTGGTTGTGTTGTCCATCACTTATTTTTCTTGAGCTTTATCCCCCTCTCTCCCTTTTCTTTTCATTACAGTTGTTATTGTTCTATATTTTGCTTTTTTTTTTTTTTTCAGTTACTGAACTGTTTGTATCTCAACCATGGGTTTACCTTTTTCTGATTCTCTTCCCCATCCCACCAAGGGGAAGGGAGCAAATGGCTGCATGGTACTTAGTTGCTGACTGAGTTAAACCACAACAGCCCCCTACAAGAAGAAATTGTTCAGAGGACTTCGTGGTTACTGTAGCTCTCACTTAATGTGGCTCTTACTGGTCTTACTGGCAAACTGGTCCTGGAAAGAGAAATGAGCTCTAGACACAGCATACTCAGATGATACCCTCAAAGAAGAACAGTGTGTCAGGTGCTTTTAATTTCTGATGATTCCTAATGGTAGAGTACTGAGGTAGTGCTTAATTGGTCATTTCCAAGACATCTAATCTCCTATCAGGATGGCTGCTAGCCTTATGAAACCCTACTCTCATCTGCCTTTCATGTGCAGTGAGATGTTTTTACTTTGTCAGCATCTAAATATGTCCCTCTGTATCAACCACCATGCAGCACAATCTTTTGTCTCTTTGTAGTCACGCTTTGTTACCAGACAAAGCTGGTAGGCCAGGCCTACGATTTGCTATGTTTTGGCTATGTTTGGACATGGCTTCTTTGCACACGTGGGAGGCAAAGCACTATGCTGCTGTCTGAGGGCTTTCCACAATGCTAAGCAGTGCTGTGACACTTCATGGGTGTCATGTCAGGGTTTTACATGCTTGGTTTAAGAACACAGTGGGAAGATCTGTGAAGCAAGGTATGTAAAGCCTCCTTAGGAGCAGGGACTGGCACAGAGCCTGCCGAGCAGGCCTCTTTCTCACGTCCACACCCATCTTTGCATCTAAACAGAGGCTCTGGCTTACTGCAGCCTGAAGCTAGTCAGTTCTACAGGAGAAAATGTGTGTTAACCCTATGCTAAATTCATGTTTATGTGAGAATCGCCACATGGACAGCCATAGGACACCAGAGTCTGCCCTGTCAGTCCTCCCAAAATCACTCCCTTCATCGGTGCAGAGATAGCTTTGTACAAGACATTCAGGCTTTGCATATGGAGTGGTGTGCTGTGTCCTCCTACATGGCTTACCTCAGAAGGCCCGTGGGAGGTTCTATCCTTGCAACAGGCACCTTCCCACTGTGCAGTGCTGAGACTGCTTGGCTGATGCGGACTGCTCTTGTGCATGGTGCACTGTCGTGAAAGTATTCCCTAGACTAGAGGTTTTGAGAGAACATGAGTAAAATTCAGTGCGAATTTTACACCAGTGGTGCAGGTGTACCCTGAAGGCCCCTTCACCTCCTGCAGTCTGGCCCATGTAGAGGCAGGCAATGTTTCTTACTATATCTATCCTGAAATGCCATCAGATGCCTGAGGTGTTACAGTGGTAGGAACTTCAGTCAAGGGCTGGGACAGAGCACCCATTTCTCACCCACAGAGCTTTGCAGCAGTCTGTGCATGGCCCCCTGCTCAGGGCCGTGGATCATTACAGAGCTGTGCTCACATGCCACTGCCAGGTGGGGTTCAGGTGAAGTGTCCTGGACTTGCCTGTGACTGACAGGTGATTGCAGCTGACTCTTTTTCCTGTGTCCTGCCCAGAATGACCTTTCTGTGCCTTTACTGGAGGAGGATCTGGACGGCTCCTCAGGACTACTATTTCCCTTCTATGACTCTGACACACACATGCTTTACTTGGTGGGAAAGGTAAGTTCTTTTCCCGTCAGCAAGTGCAGGTCTGTTTGATTCTGCTGTCAGCCTGTGTTGTGACAGACTGACATCAAAGATGCTCCTGAAGCACGTTAACCTAAGGATATGAGCAGATGTGGTGGGGCCAGAGGGTGCTTCGTCATCAGGCCACATTTACCACCTTTACAGATGTACCATGTTTATTGTGGAGAGGTAAGCAGCTGGGTCCTACCTTCTCGTATAGGAGTTTGAGGATAAACATTTGTTTCATTGTTGATCCTGCATGACTTCTTGGGGCCAGGAATTCTTCTCAGACTGTTATGCTGAACAGCAGAGTCTGGCTGATGTTGATTTTCTTTGCTTTTAGGGTGATGGAAATATACGGTACTATGAGATAAGCCCTAAGAAGCCATACCTGAACTATCTGATGGAATATCATTCTCACTTACCACAGAAGGGAGTTGGTGAGTGGCAGAATGTCTAATGTTACAAGAGGATTGTGGTTTCTTCATTTTAGAGGCTGCCAGAGTCTAGGACTATCCAAAATACTGTTGAGAAAAGAGAATGGGTCAGGTTCTTCCACACAGGTTTACAGGTACCTACAGTCAGCTTGGTGTAGCTCACCTGAATATGATAGGTGATATTACAGGGTCAGAGCTTGGAAAGGGTCCTTCTGACCAGCAAGGGCTGGGCAGTTTTACCCATCACTGCTACATCTCCTCTCACATACCTAGTCAAGATGGAGAGGAGGATAGTCTGGATTTAAAGGCGGCGAATGCTCCTTGCCGTTTGTCAATCTGTTTCAAGATTTTTGTCTTTGAGCTCTATTTCCATCATTCCCACTCTGTGATTTCTCTGGTAACAGATGCTTCACAGCTTAATGCCTTCAGTCTTTATTGCTTGTCTACCTTCTTTTTTACTGACATTTCCTATTTAGAAATAGATCTGTTATGATTAGGTCACCTCTCCTCCCTTGGAGACCCTTGCTTATTAACCTGTCTGTGTACTACCCGCTGTTTAATGAATTCAAGTGAGAGAATTTAGCTTTCAGCCCTCAGACCTTATTGTTAACCCTTTCTTGAACCTTCTCTGGTCTACTCTGAGTCATATTCCTCTACAGGTTTTTAGGATCATTAACACCCCTCCACACTATCTGTGGACACTCCTGCTCTTAGAGAACATCGGTACGGATATTTGGTGGCACTGAATTTTGTGCCTGCAGGTTGCCTTAAAAAAAATTAAAAGGAATATATTATTTAAAACTTAACTTTAAGGATCTCCTCATTATTCAGTTTTTATAAGCCTTCCACTACAAAATCCTTATTTCTCATTGTCATAGTCTCCTAAAAAATCATTTCACGCAAAGTAAGCGTACAGGTGTTTTTAAAAGGTGAATTAAGTCTACTTCCCTAACCTGCTTTGTTGAGCTGATCAAGCATACTGCAAAGGTTATTGTACAAAAATTCCTTTTCCATGTTACCAAAACAAAATACTGTGTGGAGGAGTGGAGTTTAGATTCACTTTTAAATGAATTCATAATGTAAAGTGCAACAGGCCTTCACATAGAATCTACTGTTTAATGAAGTCACTGGGTATTAGTAGAAAACTAAGCTTGTGTGCCATGAAGCAAGGTCTACAAGCATAAGGAATTTCTTTTTTTTTAAGGAAATTGATGTGGATATAGCTTTGAACTATGCAAGGTAATGAGAAAGAAACCCACTGAATTTATCAGATACTTAGAGACCTCGTGTGGCTTAGCCAATCCCTAAAACACAAATGGACAGAATCGATGTTCACACCCTTCTCATTCTCATTTCTGTTTTGGGGCAGCACTGGAGGAGGATACTGGCCTGGTAGGTATTTCAGCCATATAGAGCTATTCTGGTGTTGTTTAGGTGGCCTGAAATTCCTTCCTAGTGATCCTGATACTCAAATCCTGTGGCATTATCTGCCAGCTCTGCTCTGTTCTGCTCACTCTATTTGGAGCTCATTAGAATGCATAAGGAACAGGAGGCTTAGCATGAAAACCATGCATGTATGTAACAACATGATCTGATAGAAAAAAAAAAAAAATTTAGTCTTGTCATTTGTGCCACTGAGCCAGTTTTGGATTCACACCTCAAACCATGCTGATATGGTGCTGATGCTATGACTTCTTTCATTGTTTGATGACCCTTTTCACATGGCTGATGACATTAACTTTCCTAAGGAGATTTATATTCCATTTGTTTCATGCTCTTCCCCCAGGAATGATGCCAAAGAGAGGTCTTGATGTGGCAGCTTGTGAAATTTTCCGTTTCTACAAACTGATACCAACTAAAAGCCTGATTGAGCCCGTCTCCATGATTGTGCCTCGACGGGTAAGTCGACCTCATATCATGTTCTTATCTGAGGCAAATATCAGGGAAAAAATGAGGGCACTGCCTCCTCTCTATGACTCTTGGGGGAAGGAGAGTAGGTGGAACAAGAGATTTTTTTCTCTCCTTGCACGGGGGACGTAGCTGACCTGTTTCTGGGGCAGCCCTGCCAACAAACCCTATCTGGTAACTTAAGAGTTACTCAGGAGTTTACTCTGTTTAATAGCTGACTTTCCAAGACATGCTGCCAGGTCTGCTAGCTGTCTGTAGACTTCTCCAATAGAATCTGTTTGACATAATGACAAAAGAGGGAGAGGGATTGGATCTGGTGATGGGTGGCATCATTTCCTTGTGGAAGGAAAAAGAATCACCCTGGTAAAACAGGAACATGGGTCTCTACCCATTGGGTGGAGTTGTGTTACAGACAGCTGTTCTGCAGCATGTAAGGCATGACTGGGGGTGATGCACTGAGGGTGATGTAGCAGTAAGTCTCAGAGCTGGTGTCATTAGAGAAAGAAACAGGCCTTGAATCTGTAGCTAGCCAAGGTAGCTCCTGTGTGACTGTGTGGGCATAGGTACATGGGAAATGTCAGTACTGTGCTCTCTACTTCCAGAAAGTAAATAATATAATATAAAAATATAGAAATATTATTTAATATAAAAAGAAGGTATGAGTTCCTTCAATTCAGACACACAGGAGAGCTAATGCTCACTGCAACTCCCAACCAGGCGTGTTGCTCCAGCTTTATTGCCTTGGCCAGTTTCTGTCAGTTATAATCAGCTGATGCTTCGGGACTTGTCCATCCTTTGTACCCATGTTTTCATCTTCAGGAACATGATTTCATGGGAGTTGAGTTAGCCTTTGTCAACCTCCCCCAGTCTGAAGACTTTACCAGCATGAATTAAATTAGGCTTCCAGATGTAATTCTTTTGAGTTGAGGTGAGGAGCAGAGAGGTCCGGAGCAGAGAGGTCCAGAGCAGGTGAAAAGACTTTATGTCCATGCCAGTGAGTGCTCATGACACTCCCTGTGCTGAAGGGGAATAAATTCATTTCTTCACCACAATCTGGTATGACCGCTTTAAGCCAAAATCTTACTGACATAGTTACTCTGGTCTTTTGTTTGCTTCCAGTCGGAGTCATACCAGGCAGATATCTACCCCATGACTGCAGCAGGCCAACCGGCACTGACAGCAGAAGAATGGCTCACTGGGATTAACAAAGGTCAGCACACATGGAGAGCTCCCCAGCCCTTCAGCTCCCCTGTGGATGTGATAACCTGGTCAGAGAGTGAGAAAGCTAGATAAGTTTTCCCAGAACTGGTCTGGGAGACTTTAGGGAGCTGGTGATAAACAATGATAGCCAATTCTTAAAAACAAACTGCAGGTGGTATTTTTCTAGTATATTTTTTCCTGTTAGTCTCATAAGATTGTTTACAAATGGGCGTCTTGTTAATTAGTCAATCAGGTGAAATGTATTGACTAAATGACCAATCAGGTCCACCTGTATTGACCAGGGTATAAAAAGAAGTGGTTTAGTAAAGATGGGAGGTGGTAGTTAGCCTTCTGCTTGTCTGTGTCATTTGTGGTACTTCCCAGGGCTTGGGTTAAGCTGCTGCCAGCTCTCTGGCCTATTACCTATCAGGGAAAGATGGAAAGGAAGAGAAAGTATAGCTAGAAGTTAAAATAATTTGTTGTCTGTAAATTCTGGAAGCTGCTCCAGTCAGGTGCCTCCATGTTTATCTCGGAATGAATTGGTTGAAGCTGGTTGTTAAAATGAATTTCTTACCAATAACTTTTGAGTGTGGTTTGGGAATGCTCACTTGTCTCCTCCCTCCTTAGGGCCTCTCTTGGTATCTTTGAGACCAGACTCTGAAGATGTGAAGTCCCTACCACAGTTTCTTGAGCCAGAGTCCCCCATGGACGCTACTGCCCTGAGCCAGCAAGAGGAAGTGCAAGGAAGGATGTCACTGGAGGACCAGCAGATGCCAGGAGAGATTGAAAGTAGCAGAAAACGGCAGAAAGTGGATGAGAGTCTGCCAGAAAATGAGCAAATGTGCCTCTCCAATGGCTTTGACATATTTGAGTGTCCACCACCAAAAACTGAAAATGAGGTATGAATGTCTGGGGTGAAGGGTTGGGACTACAGGGGAAGCTCAAAGCCAGATGATGAAAGAATGCCATTCACATGGTGGTAGTTCAGGGAGGATTTATTTTGCAGGCCTGAGTCAGTGCAAGCTCTTTGTTCTTTGTGGCGGCAGAAACTCTGCCTGCCCTGACTGCCACAAGGGAAGCAGAAGTGCAGCCCAGCAGCACCTCAGCTGAGAGGGTCTGGAAAGGAGGGGGCAGTCAGCATTCTCACTTCCTAGGCATTCTTGTGGCACAGACCTGCCTGGTGACTGGCTGGGCACAGGGAGGTCCTTGTGACCTCCAGGTTCTGGAGAAGAGAAGGGGGTTTATGCAGGATAACCCTTTGATGAGAACTGCAGTTAGCAAGCCTATTTTCCAGAAAACATGACTGTCACACCCTGTGGTGTGAAAAATGTTTTCCTGCACTCTTCTGAGCTGGCATCTCAAGGTTACAGAAGCAGCCCTTGTTGAACTGAGTGCTCTGCTGCATGCATAGTGAAAGACAATGCCAGTCCCAACTGGAAGAAGAAAAAGGACTTGTCCAAGGTCAGAGAAGGAAATGTGGCAGACCCAGGAATTTAGACTCCAAATACTTTCTGTGAAACATATGCAGTCACAGCCCAATCTAGTGGACAACAGGAGCACTGCTGATGTCTGCTGGTTGAAGGCCTCCTCCTTAGATGTTTCTCTCAAAATGATGTGACAACTCTGGTGGCATTGTCAGGTTAAGCCTATGTTTTCTTAGTATAAAGTAAATAACATGTGTTTTCTTACAGCTTTTACAGATGTATTACCGGCAACAGGAAGAAATCCGTCGACTACGTGAGCTGATAATCCAGAGAGATATCCAAATAAAACAGCTAACACTGCAGCTCAAAAACCTCTGCATAGACATAGGCAATTAATGAGGTTGCTGGCCTACAGCTCTTTGTACCCCTGGACACAGGGGAAGACTCCATTGCCAGCACATAACTCCTAGGTTTTTTACTGGGGGTAAAATTGATATTTCAGGAGGCATGGACATCCCTGGCTTGTGGTGGTCACATTTCCCTAATCATCACCATACACTTTTTGATGGACTTGCTGCGCTTCTTCAGGCTCCCATTGCTTACCTGCTCACCAATGTCAGAAGCTTGTGTATTAATGCTAGTGAGAGACTCTGGAAAGTCTTGCTCTTTTGGTCCTAGAGAAGTTACATGTTAAGCTCCAGGAATGACCTGTTTTGCTGCCCCTCCCCATGACAGGAGAATGGGAGACTGAAGGCAGCTACCAGCTTCTTTTCTTGCCCTGAGGCCCAGCAATGTGGCTCCTGACCCCTTGCTCAGGGAGTCCACTCTGCTGAGCTTCAGAGGCACCTCTAGCTTCAAAGTGATCCTTAAGGACTCCTCTCACCTCACAGCTTGACCCTGCCCCCGGGTGGTTTGTGAAAGCTGTGGATGCCCTGACCTGGTGCTGGGGATAATCCCATTCTGGGGAATGCACTGGGGATGCCAAGGGCCAGTACTCTTTTGATGGGAAAAGGAGAGTTGGTGTTGGATGTCCTACAATAAAAAGGTCATGGTGTGGGCTAGTTCTTACCAGAGAAGCTGAAGAGTCTCTCTGTCATATGAGTTAGTGGCCTTCTTTCCCTTCTTCTGCCAAAGACTAGCTGCAGTCAGCTGGGTGTCATCAGAGATTGAGAACAACATTTAAAGCTGCAGAGTGTTGACAGTGGGGGAATTTGCAAAGAGGGTTTAAAAGAATAAATGGAGAGCTGGACCAAAGAACACTGAGAGTGGCCTTGCAATGCCATTGGCCTTCACCTGCCTCAGCACACTGGGGTCAAACCCATCTGGTTCCACAAATATGTGTACATACAGGATGTTGAAGCATACCTTAACCTGCTTCTCCCTATTTTGATCCTCCCTAATATGCCCCAGCCCACTGCAGACATTTCAGCAATGGTGCTAGAAGTGTTGTGTCAACCACAATAAGATCACAGGGCTGTGGCCAGTCATGAACAGCCCTCCAGGACTGCTGGAGTGTCACTTGTCCTTAATGCCTGCAGTTGCTGCTTCCCTTCACTCCCAGGTGCCAGCACCTTGTCCCATTCCTGCAGCTGTCTACAGCTTCAGCTTCCCTCTTGCCAGCTGTATTGTCCAGCCCCCTGCATCCTCCTGTGGCCACACTGATCTGTGCCCTTCAGCACCAGCTCTCTGGCTCAATGCTGGACCCACAGAGATGTCTTAAACACAGGCAGAGCAAGCAAACACTGTTGAACCTGTAACTGTGCACCTCTATTGTGGCATGTAGAAATCATGGAATCAACTAGGTCTGGGGGTACGTCTAGGACACATCCTTGTCACCAGATGTGTTTTACTGGCTGCTTTTTTTTTGCTTATTTTTTTATATGAAATAAATTATTTAAATTATTTCCAAAGTAAATTACATATTTTTTTTCTCCCGCTTCTTTTTTTTTTTTTTTTTTTTTTTCTTCCATATGAAATAAATTATTTAAATTATTTCCAAAGTAAAGTAATTTTTCTTATAGAAATAATCAAGGGATTTTACATTCTCTTGAAAATTGTTTCTTTGTTATTCTATGAGTGACTAGCTTAGAGAATGAGGCCGCACCAGCTCTCTGGCTCAATGCTGGACCCACAGAGATGTCTTAAACACAGGCAGAGCAAGCAAACACTGTTGAGAGAATGAGGCCGCTATGGTTCTTATCCTTGGGTTTTGTTGATTTTAGCACTTATGGAAAAGAAAGTGCTTTTATTTATGCTTTGGTGAGATTATTTAATCAAAACTTCTTTTTTAGACAGTATGCCTGTAAAAGCGCGGACTGTGAAATGTATCTAAATTTGGAGCTTAACTGCAACCACTAATCTTTTACTGGAAAAAACCTTGAGGAAATGGAGTTATGCGTTCATGATCTGTGCCTAAATAGTATTGAGTGATCATTCTAACAGTTTGAAAACTCCTGAAAGCTTTATAAAAAACTGTTGAACATGGGGATAAAAAACAAATCTGTGCAATGAAAAGCAAATATAACTGAATAATAAATATATTTAGAGTTTTGCATTTTGATACATGCAAGATTATTTTTTTAATTATTGTGTTTTTGAAGTGACTGAAACTTAAGCTCAATCAAGGTCAGAAGGGAGTGTCACCTACTGTCTACTTTGCTTGCATCAAGCTGTGGCCTTATGTTAGTAAGTGGGTTTTATGCAGAATTATGCAGATGGCCCTTTTTACATTGTTCCCAGTTGCCCTTAATGCCACAAAGGGATGGCCATTGCACACTGTTCTGAATTGCTGTGTGTGTTGCCTTGAGTGAACTCAGTACTGCTGGAGATGCATTCTGTGTGGTGAGGTGTTTGCTGCTGTCTTGCAGTCCTGGTTCTTCTCTTGTGCAGTACAGCTCTGACCAGGCTCTTTTAGATATTCCACATGAGGAGGGTTTAATGCATTACTACCAAATTTACTTATTTGAAGACAGCATTTTGATTTAGCAGACTGAAGCAGCATGGACAAAGCACGAGATAACACCTGCAACCTCCAGCTAGGTCACAATACAAGCAAAATTCTCATTGTGCTTACTGTCATGATGCTAGGTATCGCCGGTCACCAGGAAAAAATGTGTGGTCTGAAGCCAGCTCAAGTCTGTAGCTCTCTTTAAAGATCATTTTGTTGTTTTTGTTTTGCTTTGTTTTGCTCTAATTCCCATGGCCATGGTAGCTTTGATGAAAATCTGAAGAACCATGGCTTGTGCTCATGTCCTTGGAGCTGTCTTTCACTGTAGTGGTTTGTTGATCCGTAACAGCTTTGGGTATGGAAATACTCATGGCTGCATTTGCGACGTAAATGTTTTTTGTAGCATATTTTAGGTCAGCGTGAGGAGAAACAATGGTGGAAATTGCTGGAGGAAGACTGTGCTGGGAACTTTGTGCATCTGCCATGTCATCAGGACACTGTGACCTCCTGGTCTTGTAAGGAACCTTGTGCTGGTGAGAGTGCCTGGACAGGCACTGTGCCCTTCCTCAGGGGCTGATACAGTCACACTGCTCGGACCAAAGCCTAGGAAAAGGCAGCAGCAGGCAGATTTTTGTGGGAGACAGAGGAAGAATCTGCAGCGCTTTTGCAACTCTGGTGTTATGGCTGCTTAACTTCAAAGACAGAGTAAAACACAGCCCTGTAGTGTTAGCTTGCCTGCTGGATTTAGAAACACAGCACTTCACATCCTCACCCTCTACTCCAGGGCAGCTGTCAGCTGCAGAATAAAACCTAGACAGTAGTTGTCATTCTCATTTTATTTCTCTTCTTGCAAGGCTGTACCCTTGGTGTGCTCAAGGAGTTGCAGGCAGAGGAGAGCATGGACAAGATGCCCCCTTGTTTGTCCTGCAGTGGGAAGCAGCAGATCACCCTTGTTGTCTTGGGCTGGGTAGCATCCATCCCTAGGACAGGGTGGATGCGAGCTGCAGCGGGGCACTGAAGTGAAGTTGCAGAATCAGGAATTGCCTTTTGGACATGCTGCAGCACTATTTCAGAGCAGGATCTCTGAGCTTGTGCTGGAGCCACTGCAGTCTGTCTACAACTTGTCTGTGCTGAGGAGCCCAGGACTGGACTTGGCACTCCTCACATGGCCTCACCAGTGCTGAGGGTACAGGAAGGACAAATTCCCCTGAGCTGCTCTTAATGCACTTCTAAATACAGCTGAGGATAGTAATGGTCATTTTTGCAGAAGGCCAGTGCTGCTGGCTCAAACTCAGCTTACTGACCAGAAGGACCTCACAGAAATCTGCAAAGCTTCTTGTCAGCTTCACAAGTCCCCAGCATGTGTCAGTGCATGGAGCTACTCCCCCTTAGCTGCAGGATGGTGCAATTGCTCTTGCAGTGCTTTATCACCTTCCTCCCTGTCCAGCTCTGCATTTTGCCTGTTTAGGTTCCCCTGAAGTGCAGCACAGCTGTCTACTGCACTTTCCACTCCTTACACTTTTATATGCTCTCTAAACTTGCTTGAGTCTGTGCTGTCCCATCCTGCAGGTCTCTAAGGCAGAGGTTCAACAGCTTTGGATTTCTTTTGTAAACAGGTTTTGGTTTTCTGCTCAGAAATCCAGGCTGGCTACTCCTGAGCACCTTCTGATTCTTCATGCCTTTGGAAATGCTCTCCAAGAGGATTTTCTCAACATCTTCCAAAGGATTGCATGAGGCTGTAGTTCATTCATCTTCTTCCTTACATGGTTAGAAGGCAGGGCTGAGAGTAATTTGCAACTTTTCTGACTCGCCTCCACGTTTCAAAGAACACTGAGAGTGGCCTTGCAATGACACTGGCCTTCAACTTCCTCAGCACACTGGGGTCAAACCCATCTGGTTCCACAAATATGTGTACATACAGGGTGTTGAAGCATACCTAGCCTGCTTCTCCCTGTTTTGATCCTCCCTAATCTGGTGTAGAGTAGGTATCTACTTATCTACCTCAACAATATCTGTTTTCCTCTGCTAGCTTTCCCTCTCCTTAGAACCTGGTTATGTTCTTCAGGTTCTCACCATGGCTGCCATGGTTGTGGGAATCAGAAGTCTGCTATGAGCAGCAGCTCTGCAACCGGCGGTTCATGCACAGTTTCTGCTGCGTCCTCTTTGGGCACAGTGGAGAAAACCACTTGGGAGTCCACACTCTTCAGCAGTTCCCCTCTGGCCTGCTAGTTACACTTGATATTTCTCAGGTCACCCCTGGTGGTGTCTTTGGTACACTTGTGAAAAGGCACCACTGCACAGCAGAAAGCCAGATAAACCTTGGTAGCCTCTGCACAGCATTCTCAATGAAAGCCCCACACAAGCAGCAAATCTCCCTAAATGATAAGTCTGATCAGCAGATGTGAGGTTTCTGACCCCTGCAGTGGACAGCAATGTTCCTCTATTTATC